TATCATCAAGGAAAGAAAGACCTGTGATTCTCAAAACATTTTAGAGGTAGTGTATAGACAGGCTGGAATCCTCCAGCCCTCCTGGGGGGTGTGGCACATGCCAGGTTCTGTGCAGAGCCTTGTAAGCCTACAAGATGACATAGAAGCTTGCAGTCTTACAGGAAGAACAGAGCAAGAAACTGACAAGTACTAGAGGGTGCCACATGCCATGTTGGAGAGGAGCGCAGGGGTACAGTGGGGACGCAGATCCAGGGCCCCTGGGGAGTGAGGGAAGGCTGCCTGGAGCTGAGTGAGAGAAACTCAGTGAAAGAGGTAAAGGGACTAGCCCCTGCACAGGCACAGAGGTACTCAGTTTATTCTCAGGAGGCTGGGAAGAAGCATGAGTTTTAATGGATAAACAGAAGTACCAAGTGAGCATGTAAGCTAGCCAACATCTCCCAGCTAGCCCAGGCACAGACCAACAATCATCTTTTCCAATGTGATAGCAGAAAAATAGACTATTTGATTCTCTTTTCCCTTCTGAGGCTGTCTTTAGAGGCAACCAATGTAGCAAGGCAACATAGCAGATAGATCATAGCAACCTGAGTGGTATTTGTTTGTTACAAAGAGATAAATAATGCATTACACCTGCTGTTTTCCACCTAATGCTTTTAATCTGAGGAATGACAGACTTGCTGTGTTCTGGCACCTTAGAAACCAAACTGCCTGGTTCTGCCTGAGAGCCACATAGATGCAGCAGCTCCGCGGAGGCATGAGGGCGGCAGCTCTCACACCTGTGCCACAGCCAAGACCGAGTGGGGAAAGATACAGTAGACGTGGTGGGCAGGGACATGGCCCCTGGGCTCCCAGCCTGCCAAGCAGGCACAAAAGCAACTCATCTTGGGACCAGGCTAGAGTGGGAAGGAACCCAGCCTCCTCTCTCTTTCCTGCACTCTTTACTTCCTTGGGCATCTTGACTGAATGACATTTCCCAATTCTCCACTCTGGAGTTTAGCTTGCATTGGTTTTTCTGAGCAGAATCCTGCTGCTAGAGACAAAAGTCTTCCACATGGTCTCCCTGCAGTCTCAATATCCTTACAGCTTTGCCTGGCTAATCCCTGTGTGTCCTATTTGTCTCTGGATCCTTCCTCAGCCCCTAAGAACACCTTCCCAGACCCTGCTGCCCTGGGTCAGAGTTCCTCTCACACACATCGTAATTGTCTGTTTCCTTGTCCATTTATACACTTGACTCACTGGGGTCAAGCACTCTCCTTCATCCTCTTCATCTGCCAGGTGCTTTGCACACAGAAGTCATTAGGTACTTACCAAGTGGTCTCAAGTGTTCTGGTGTGTTCTTAAAGTCTCAGATCTTGGCATCGGAAAACACCTTCGAAGACCACTGTTCTTTTCTACCCCTCGAGCCCCTCTGTACTGCTCACAGGCAAACAGCCAGCCTGAGCCTTGTCCCCCTGCCTGCCGAGACACCTCACCTCTGCTCGGCCGTGATAATGACGTACTTTACGCTGAGCCTAAACCTGCCTTCCTGGAGCTTCTGTCCTTTGGTTCCTAGCTCTTGCTCTTGCAACCACACACACAAGCCTAAATCTCCTTCCTCAAGACAACCGTCTGGGGAGTTCAATCCAGTTCTAGTGGTCTATTTTAAAGAGAGCTCTTTCTTCCTTTCTTCAGGTAATCACCCCAGTCTCCTCCACATTCTCAAAAGGATGTTGCTTTGGATGTCTTCACCCTCATGATTATTCTTTTCTGATTGTTCTCTATTTTTATTTTATTTTATCATAGTAAGGACCTTTAACATGAGATCTATCCCCTTAACACATTTTAAGTGAACAGTACATTATTGTTAACTATGGGGGCAGTGTTGATTTCTAGAACTTACTCATCTTGCAGAATTAAGACTTTATGTCCATCGATAAGCAGCTCTCCTTTTTCTCCTCCTCCTGTTCCCTGGCAACCATCATGCTACTCTTTGAATCTATGACTTTGACTACGTTAGATATCTCAGATAAGTGGGATCAGACAATCTTTGTCCTTGTGTAACTGGCTTAATTCACTTAGCATAATGTCCTCAGGTTCATCTATGTTGTCACATATTGCAGGATCTCCTTCTTTTTAAAGGCAGAATAATGTTCATTGAAGGAAGCCCTATTTTCTTATTTCCTTTTTAAAGTGTGGCTCCCAGAACTTTGTACCAAGCTCTGGGTCTCTCTAGCATACAGAGAGGACAGTGAGATTAGTTTATTAATTATAATTTTATAATTAATTATAATTTGCCCTACTGTGTTGGGAGTAATCTAAAACTCTAAGGCCTTTTCTCTTGCTCTAAGCTAAGTGTATTTTTATATACACTGATGTCAATGTATAGTCAGATTTTGGAACAATCAACTCCAGAGTTCACTGAGTTCAAAAGCCCCAAACAAACTCCAGTTTGATCTGGTCTAAATTTACTATCTCAGGAGTCCAGCCTGATGGGATGGGGGTGGAGCAACGGCAGAGGATTGCCTGGTTCTATGAACATAGTCTACCCATGCCACGCCATGCCTCCATCTGGGCAAGGCCTACACAGTGTCTCCAGACTTTTCTCTGCTTCTTCCAGCCCATCAGCCCCTACTCATGCTTTTATCTACCTGATTCTCGTTCAACTCCTGGATTTTGGTACCAGGTTTGACTTTCTGTGCCCCCATCCCAACTTCAGGATACGAATTAGTATTCTGTTAACACATTGCTCCAAACCTGCTAGCTTTTCCATGGCAGGACCTTACTTATTCAGATTCACATCACATTCATCTTAGTTTACCCTCAAGATGTCTAAATTGCCCAACACAATATGTGCTGGAGATAGAATTTACTAAAGTTTTCTCAGACAGCAGAATTCTTAAGTCTGGGGCAATAACTGGGATTAGCAAAAATACCATCGGGTTCTGTGTAACACAGACTTGAGCGTGAATCTCAGCTGTACTGTTATTTCACTATGTGGCCTAAGCAAGATAATTAACCTTTATGAATGTCAGCCATCTCAACTATAAATGGGAAATATGGGCTAGGGGTCCAAGAACACTTTGGCTCTCAGGTTCTATGATTCATTTATAAGTCACACACTCCCCTTGCTGGCTGGTGCCCTACTTTGGGGTCGTTGAAAGGCAATTCTTTGCAGTCAAGTCGTGCTACTCAAATCAAGCTGAGATTCCCTTCTCCCAGCAGCACGTGACGGGCTGTCAACAGACTCTTCTAGAGCATAATCACTCCGCAGGCACCCTCCAGCCCTATTAATCAGCCCGTCCTGTCGCTTAAATTCGGCAGCACTCCACCACGCACCTACGTAATCACTCTGGCTTCTGCCCGTGAATTCTTTTCATCCACTTTTGTTTATCACTGTTGAAGCATTTTTTAATCAAAACAATTAAATATGCTAAATCTTCCTCAATTAGTAAGGCATTAAAAATTAAAAGTGCATGAACAGAAATGGCAGAAGCAGCCTTTCGCTTGGTGCTGAGTCCCAGTGCTCAGGGCGTCACTCCCTGACACTTTCACCTCTGCAGTTACTGAAAAACTGATAGTCACAGGGTCACAGAGAGCTTCGGCTGAAAGGGGCCTTGGAGATGATAACTTTTTCTTTCCATAAATGGGAAACTGAGGCCCAATGGGATCATGGGCCTTTTCCAAAATCATAGAGGGTATTAGTGACTGGGATTTGAATTTAGGATTCCTGAATTCTAAGTTTCCCTTACCAAAGGACTCAGGGCATTCATGTATTCACTCGTTTTTGGGTTTTTTTTTACATTCATCAGTTATTTTTTCTGAAAATATGTACTAAACTCCTACTTCATGACACACACTGTGTTGCTATGCTGGCAAGGCAATGGTGAATAAGATACAAGTCCTTGACCTCATGAATTTGCAGTGTAATGGGGATACAGGCAAGGAAACTTTGATGCTCAATATCCCCTTGAAAATATTGAAGCTAATACTTAGTTCCACTGGATGATAGGGCTAAGCTATATTTCCTTTGTGGTGTCCAGAATAACTCTACAACTGGCAATAATTGTTTTATAGTTGAAGTGTAAAAGGAATGATAGTTCAAAATGCAAATTCTAGTTTGCTATATTCAGAAGGCCTCCGTCACCCCAGAAAAAGTTTAACTTTGTAGCATGGTCAATATCTTGCTCCCACCTTCTCTTCTAGCCTCATCTTGCCAGGCAGACTCGGGCTGGAAACCCAGCTCTGTTCATTTAAAGGCTGTGTGATTGAAGCAAAATGGCTTCACTGCTTTGAGAATTATTTTCCTCATCTGCAAAAGTGCAGGTTCCTTAGTGGGTTCTCAGATTTAGCCAAACGCAGAGATGGATAATGAGGGCCCGACAGTCCTTGTGGGGTCCAAAGGGCAGGCAGACTTTCCATGGGGACCTATCTATCTTCCAACAGGACTCTGGCCTTTCTGGGTGCAAAGACAACCTGGACAAAAAGACTTGTGATGAATGTGATTATTCAAGCACAGAGAACATTGGTAGATCTGAAGAAACAGGGAATTATTCTGATCAAAAAATGGCTCATGGAGTAAATGAGATGTGAATGGGAGCTTGAGTAGACTTTGGAAAGATGTTGAAAAGGGAGAGAGGAAGGGCAATTATACTGAGAAGCAACATGTGCAGAGTGAAAATGGTGCCTATCGTGGGCCGAGCACTGTGCTAAGTAAGCACAGGAGTACATGGAGATGCATGAGACAGAATCATTGCCTCAAGAAGGCTCAGTAAACAATGGGCAAGGGCAAGGTACTGACAGTTTTGAACAACTAGTGTGTGCAATAGATATCCTTTACCATTTCAAGAAGTATTTGGGTTGGAAACACACTAAAGAGAAAAGTGAAATGAGGTTGAATAGGGCTTTCTACCCAGATCTCTTAAGACTCTAAAACCGAAGCTATCTTCTACTATTCAGATGGTCATAGCATGTCAAGTGTCTTTTAGTAACTCAGCATTTTGTGTTTCTCTGTCTCCCTGTTGCAGGTATTACCAGCGAAGATATCAGGACATGCTTTGGAGCCTCTGTGGGCATTGAGTATGAGTATACAAATAGCATCACCATCGAAGGAAGTTTATCAGGAGATCGCTGTAAAAAATTTGGAACTGGCAAAAGTGGCAAGTGTTTAGCAATAGGTCTCCCCAAAAAAGAAGCCAGATTTTCCTTTGGACACACAAAGATGACATGGAAGCTAGTTTTTCCCCTGATTGATTTCATTTCAGTTAATGGTCACACTGCATAGATGCTAAATATCCCAAACTAATGACCTGCAGTGGTTCTGTTTTGAATCTACCATGGGCTGAATTCATCTTTGAAATACTTGCCTTTGTATGGGACAACCTCCTAGATTTCAAGTATTAGACAAAGATCCAAGTAAGAACTGAGATGAAAGGAATGTGGAGACGGAATCTGGAGTGCGGGTGGTTGGAAGGAAGCCCCACCAGATTACAATCTACAGGGAGGAAACAAGGCAGCTGAGAGAGGAGACTCTGGTTACCAAGTCCAAACTCAAAGAATAATTGTCAGGGAGGGATTGCACATGAATATTTTCTGGCATTTTCTGAATATGTCAATTGGAGTGCTCATGTATTCACTCACTCATTCATTCATCAAACATGTATCAAGTATTTTTCAGGTGAGAGGCACAGAGAAGACAGGAATGATGAAACAGTTTGTAGTGCACTAGGTGAAGTAGATATTAAACAGGTTCAAGCTACTCCCATTGCATTAGGTCACTCATGCTTCAGGGCCTTAACCACATTGCTTCCTCTCTCTGCCATCCTTCCACCCTCTCTTCATTTACCTGGGAAGCGCTCACTCACCTTCCTAGACAACTCACCTTTCTTCCTCAACAACTCCCTGACCCCCTACTGTATATCTGACCACTTTTTTCTCTGCACCTCCACTGAGCCCTAGAGTAACATCTTTCCTAGCAGCTATGACAGCTGATTGAACCTGCCTAGCATACAGCAGGCACTGAGTAACTAGTGGACATATGAATAAATGAATGAATGAATGAATTAATTACCATCCATTTTCCCATTCTCCCTCCTCCATGTGGGCTGGACTATCCTCCCAGTTTCTGCTTCACTCTAGAGAGTGTGAGTCTATTTCTAAGTCTTGGCCCTTCTCCTCTGCCTTGTCCTGATAGTTAAGAGTAGAAGAATGAGAAACAGCTTAGAGCTGTTACTGAGAACACACGAACTTTGTCCCACATCTCACTGCTTGAGCTTGCCAACCAGTCCTTTGGCTTCTCCTTTGGCTTTTTGGGAAACGAGCTAATGTGCTAATCCATTTGCTGGCAGAAAGCAGCAGGAAGGCCATAGCTGTGGAAGACATCATTTCTCTGGTGCGAGGTGGCAGTTCTGGCTGGGCCGGTGGCTTGACACATAACAGGAGCACCATTACCTACCGTTCCTGGGGGAGGTCATTAAAGTATAATCCTGTTGTTATCGATTTCGAGGTAAGTCTTTTCGCAGCTGAAGGAACTCTACGTCCATGAGGAATGAAAGTGAAGCAGACCAGATCATTTCATATTTCTTATTATGAGCCCATCAAAGAACAAGATTAAATGTAACGGCACACTGAGCCAGTGGCCTTGCCCAGGCCTGACTTTAGACCCAGGCCCCGGAGAGCTGGGGTCAGAAACTTATTACCTGGCCAATGCTTAGTTTTACACTAGTAGTCCCAGAAGTTTTCCAGGGTTAGGCTATATTAAACAAATGATCATCTGCATTTGTACTTGAAAGACTCTAAAAATCACATCTGTTAAATTAGGAGTTGGCCAACTTTTTCAGTAAAGGACCAGATAGTCAATATTTCAGGTTTTGTGGGCCACAGGCAGTCTCTGACACACAAGTAGTAGTGGTTGTTGTTTTTCTTTTCCTCTTCTCTTTCACATCTCTTTAACAATGTAAAGATCATTGTATGGCCATACAAAAATAAGCTGTGGCTTGGAGTTGGACCTAGGCTGCAATCTGCTGCTGTTGCTCTCAATTTTCACATCTCATCATCACAATGAACCTCTGGCATCGATACAATTCTTCCCATTGAAAAGAGTAGGAAACTGAGGCTCTGAGAAATCAAGTGAGTTGTTTAAAGCCACAGAGCTTCTATGTGGCAGAGCCTGGATTTCAGAACTTCGGACTTCATATCCAGTTCTCATTTCCTTCTATCCTAGTACCTTCCTTAAAGCAGTGGTTCTCAACCATGGGGGGTGATTTTGCTGCTAACGGGAAATGTAGCAATGTCTAGAGACATTTTTAAATTGTTACAACTCACAATGGGGCAGGGAAGTATTACTGGCACCCAGGAGGCAGAGGATAGAGATGTTGCTAAATATCCTACAAGGCACAGAATGGGTCCAACGACAAAGAAATATCTGGTCCCAAATGTCAATAATGCCAAAGTTGAGAATTTCTGCCTTAAATTCCTAACCTCATGAAGGGCATAAAACTATATTCAAACTTTAAAGGGAGTGGATTTTTCTAGCAGCTTAAAAACTACTTCTGTCAATATGCAGCATAGTTCATTAAAAAAAAGGTTGTTATTTCAGACTTTGAAGCAAAATATTATTTTTTCACTTATTTTCTCCATACTCATGCCTATTTTCTACATGTTTAAAATACCTCATATGAATACATTCCTTCTCATAAAACATATTACCTATAGTTAAACCTAAAAGTCTATTATAACACCCTGCTTTCTATGAAGAAAGAGGTCAGATGGATTAACCTTGATTTCATTTCTTCTTCAATAAGTAAGGGACCATTTTCACGCACCTGTAATTCACACAGGGTCTGAAAATTGCTATCATCAAGCTATTAGTGATTTGGGCAAAAACTGTAAAATTGATATCAGGAGTAATATATAAACTTTCACGGGCAAGAGGTGAACTTTGTGTTTGCCTTGAACAAATTTCTAAGGGAAAGACTGAAGTTCATGATTTGGAGAAGACCAAATACTGTCTACTGGGAAAAGAACCTGGGCTTTGGAGGGGCAAGGGGAGAGGAAAGGTATTGACATGGCTCAGCTGCCTTGTTAGTGTGTGACCTTGGAGGAGGTACTTCACTCCCTAAGCCCGTTTCCTGTTCTATGACACATGGATAATACGCTACTTCACAAGGGTAGGGAGAGAGGGGTGGGAACTTAGTGAATGTCAGTTGAAGAAACAGGTTTAGATCTCATCACTAGCAAATGACAGAGCCCAACCTGAGTCATGTCACACTGATACTAACATCCACAATCTCTTTGCAACCCATATTGCCCCCTGAGAATTTAGGACTCAATGCGTTAAGCCACTGGTGAAGTGATATAGCCAGCACCGTGCTTTAAAAAGAGAAGGCTCACAGGGAAGTGAAGGATGAATCAAAGGAGGGAGGAAGGGAGAAAGGAGGGAGAGGAAGAAAGGGAGAGAGAGAGAGAGAGAGAGAGAGACTGACTACAGACAAGGAGAACAGGTAGGTGTTATCTGGAGCCTGAAGTTCAGGGTGAAACAGTGTTTTATTCACTTGCATATCCCCAGAGCTCAGCAGTTCTTATATAGAGTAGGTACTTAGACTGAGTCATATTATAGTATGTCTGTGTTACATTATGTTGCCATGTTGTATTAAGTGATGTATTATGTGCTATGTGTTATCTTATGGTGTTGCTGTATCCTATCACTTGCCTTCTGTGAATCTGTTTTCTCATCTGTAAAATGGGGATGAGATCATTGCCAATATCTTTTCAAGTGCTACCATCCTAAGATCTTTTTCTTTTCTCTTCTCCCTTACATCCTACTGACCCACCTCCAGAATGTGTCCTTTCCTCTTCCTGAGGTCCCTGGGAGGGAGAAGTCTGAGATGGGGGACTGGGCACTTAGACCCACTGGAAGGTCAAAGAGAGGTCGCCCAGTGGTCCTGGCCTCCCTGGAAATGAGTCATCTTTAACCAGGGCAACAGGGCAGCTTATTCTGCACTGACTTCCGAACAACGGGGCCAAATTTTCTGAGCTTCCAGTAAGTGGTTTTCCCTTGGCTGGGGGCCCAACCAGTCCTGCCATTACTTCATGGTGACCTGAGCTGCGGCCCCTGTCTGCAGGCCAAGGTCTGTTTGCCACAGGACTACCTGTACACACTTCCAGGAACCCAGTCAAGGCTACTGCAAATGCCATCTGTTGACTTTTGTTTCCAGAGAAGTGACACTGTCCCAGTGTGGCTCAGTCCTACCACTGACTTGCTCTGTGACTTTGGCAGATCACTTTCCCTCTTGGGGCCTCAGGTTCATCTCCTATAAAATGAGAGATTTGGAGAAAAACTTTCATTTTATGATTATGTTAAAATGGATTGCACTGCAAGCATGCTGAAAATAACATGCAATTTGGAAAACATGGGCTTTTGTTTTTTTACTATCATCACATATAACAAAAATGGTGCTTTATTTGATATTGTTCTTCCGTTTTACAGTGGTGTCTCATAAGACTTCTAGGAAGTACGTACTACTCCTATTTTCTAGAATTCGGATCAGGTTTACAGAGGGGCAGTTATGAGTCCCAGGCCACCCAGCCAGGAAGTGAGCTGCACTGATTTAGTGTTTAGCATGTGAGGGGCCTTTCCCATGTACCACCTCCCTCTTTTAATCCTTATGATAAACCCGGAGGGTGGGAGGACTGTTCACACATTGTAGGTAAGGACGAAGGCTCAGGGTGGCAGGGGCCACAGATCACACAGCTGGATGCAGTAGGGCTGGGATCTGAAGCCAGGTTTTCTGGCTCCAGGTTCAATGATCTTTCTATTACATCTACTACTTCTCAGCCAGAGGCAATTTTGTCTCCTAGGGGACATTTGGTAACGTCAGGAGACAGTTTTAGTTTTCATGCCTGGAAGGGTGCTACTGGCATCTAGTGGGTAGGGGCCAGGGTGGCTGCTAAACGTCCACCATGCACAAGGCAGCCCACTCCTGCCAACAAAGGATCAACCAACTTGAAACGCATTAGTCCCAAGGCTGAGAAAGCCCACACTACAGTCACTCCTGGCATGATTGCCTCCAAGGTAAATGACCCCCTACCTACCCCCACACACTTGCACCATTACAGGAATCGCTCAGCAGTGACACTGCAACTACCCATCAAAGATTTTATTAATTCCTGCACTGAAGATTGACAATAAAAAAAAAAAAAATACACACAAACACACAGACTTTCCCTGCTTCCTAAAAGTGCTGGAGGTGGGCAGAGGAGCTGGCACAAATAACTTCTAAGCTCTCTTCTTTCTCTGGGATTGGGAGAGCGCAGATCTCAGGGTTAAAGTAGGTCTATGAGTGGCTCTTGCACTTAGTAACTGTGTGACCCTGAGCCAGTGACTGGAATACTTGGAGCCTCCATGTCTTCACCTGTGAGCTGGGGAGTTTAGCACCTACGTCACAGCGTGGTTGCCAGGATCCAAGGCAGTGGGATAATGTTGGTGTCTGCCTCTGTGTCTGGCATGCAGCAGGCCTTCCAGAAGGTTAGTGGCCCATCCTTGGGCTCTGGGAAGGTGGACAGAGCCCAGGGAGGGGCCCTGTGTTCTTTCTGTGCCTGCAGATGCAGCCCATCCACGAAGTGCTGCGGCACACGAACCTGGGGCCCCTGGAGGCCAAGCGCCAGAACCTGCGCCGGGCCCTGGACCAGTACCTGATGGAATTCAACGCCTGCCGCTGCGGGCCCTGCTTCAACAACGGGAAGCCCATCCTCGAGGGCACCAGCTGCAGGTGCCAGTGCCGCCAGGGCTACCTGGGCCCTGCCTGTGAGCAGACGGAGATAGAGGGTAAGGCCCGTGCACCCCACCCAGTTCCAGCCTCGCCCAGCTCAAAGGGGCCAGGGCCAGAAGGACCGCTGGGGTTCCCAGCCCTTCCTTTCTGAACCCGCTTGTTCACTACCCTAGGATCTCACATGCAAGAGTTCCGTTGCTCACCCACCACATTTGATGGTTCTTTTGCTTCCTCCCTGTTGTCAAGACCCTTTCTTGGATGAGAACTGTTTCTCACCAAGATTTAGGTGGACAATGGATTCATTTCTGGAGAGATAAACTAGTTCCCTGGGGCTGCCATAACAAATTATCACAAACTAGGTTGCTTGAAACAACAGGCTTCCGGAAGCTAGAAGTCCAAAATTCAGGCAACATTGGCTGGGTGGTTTCTTCTAGAAACTCCAAGAGAGATCAGGCTCCATTCCTCTCTCCCTGCTTCTGGTGGTCGTCAGCAATCTCTGGTGTTTCTTGGCTATAAATGCATCATTCCAATCTCTCCCTCTGTCTTCACATGGCATTCTTCCCTCTATGGCTTTGTTTTCTCTCCTTATGAGAACACCCATCATGGGATTAGGGCCCACCCTAATCCAGCATGACCTCATTTAACATGGTTTCATCTGCAAAGACCCTATTTCCAAATAAGGTCACATTCACAGGTAACAGGAGTTTGGACTTGAACATATCTTTTGGGGAAACACAATTCAACCAACCATAAGGGATTAGTAGTTGTCATTATAGTGTAAGGAGCTGTGACTAAAATCAAGGTTGGGGCAAGGAAGGTTTAAATGTACATAACTGCAGCATGAACTGGCTGGTACCAGGAAGAAAGTTATCAAACAAAGACTGAAAATATGTCCCTTAAAGATGAAGGGGTCTGGGGACATGGATGTGAACTGCAGCTATTTCAGTAACTCACTGTGAGACACTGGTTAATCACATCTATCTGGGCTTTAGCTTTTTCATCTAAGTTTCCTCTGAGCTCCAAGAATCTCTATGCATGTCCCAGTCCTCTAGTTTCCAATTTTCCAGGCATCCAAAACAGTTTCTATGGTGCAGGGAATGATGGTAAAACAAATGGGCCGCCAAATCAAGGTAGAAATCAATCTTAGTTGGCTATCACAATGAAGCAAATGCAAAGAAAAAAGAAGCGTGGTGGGTAAATCTAGGTGCTACAACCCCTGGATCCATAGAATAAACAACCCCTGGATCCATAGAATAATAAGCAGCACAGGGTAGACGGGCAGTGAGCCGTGTGGCTTGATGGCCACGTGTGAAGAACAGGCCAAGCACTTAGTCCTAGCTGACTCAGTGGGAGTTGACAGCGATAGGCAGGTGCCCCCTGAGTGAAGGGTGACATTAACAGAAGTCAAGACCCCAGAACAAGATTCTTCTCTGGCATCCCAGGAGCCACACTTCATGAGACATGGGCAAAACAAAGTGGGCAGCCAAGGGAAGTGGGAAGACTCGAACCTGTGTCCTAAGAGGAAGAGCTGGAAGGAGTGGGAGTTTTTGGCATGGAGAAGATTTTGAACTACCATGAGGGAAGGCATGAGATTTGTATTCTGTGGCCATGGAGGTTAGGTTGTAGAACCAATGGGGAGAAGCTACAGCAAAGAGATTTGGGCTTAACGAGGAAGAACTTTGTTAGGCTACGCTGTGGCAGGAGCGAGGTGGGGATGGATGACCACTGGTCAGGAAGCTGTAGAAGAGATTCATTTGCGCAACGGGTGATTGGCTGTGATGGTCTCATGGTCCCTGCTACCCTACCATCTCTGAGTCTCTGACCTAAACAAGGGATGGCAACATGACGAACAGGTGATAGTTTGAAGCTTTAAATCTTGAAATTCAGCGTGGCTTGAAAGAAACCACAGATAACAATTTCCCTAGGATTCAAGAAAGATCTCCATCCATAAGATCTGGTTTAAAAATGAGACGATGGGGAGGTCTATTTCCTCACTGGAGAGCAGTTCTAGATGGGAGGCAGGACAGCACAGCTCCGGTGCCAAACAGGCCTCTGAACCTTAGAGCTGGCAACTTCCATCTGGGCTCACCCTGCAAAGTGAGATCACATTGGAAACTCTCACAGGTCACGTTGAGGACCGAACTAGTTAACACATGTGGTGGGCTCTATTATAACAAGCAAAAGAAGAGATAGCTCCATGGTAGAGGATCTGTCCTGGGTTGTTCCTTGTCTAAATCCCTCCTCTACTGGCAAGGGAGTAGAATTTGAGTCCCACTGAACCGCCTGGTATCCTGAAGGAGGAATTCTGGAAGGGGTGAGCCAAGAGGGCGAGTGAAAGCTGAAGTCTTTATGAAGGAGGATGCTGAGAATAAAATCAAGGAGACCAACTACCAGGGCCAAGCCTGGTACACAGTTTCATCAGGTGAATTGGAAAAAGGCACTTCCCCGTAGGTGGGTGACTTGAGAGGTAAAAGAAAACTTCTCTGGGCAGATAGAGCCAGCCCCAGGGCCCAGGGCTTTCCTGCCTTCCCACGCAGAGTGTGGATGGTGTGGCAGCCCCCATTCTCCTGTTGGCCAGGCAGGTTTCCCGGAGCGACCAAAGGTCAAGGAACAGAAATAATAACTAACCCGTATTCTTTGCCGGCCATTATAGCAGCACTTTCTGTATGAACTCATTTATTTCCCCAAAACTTATGACAGAAATGCTATTATTAGCTCCAATTTACAAACGAGGAAACTGGAGCAGAAGGAAGGTTAGACAATTTGCACAAGGTCATCTAGCAGCAGAACGAAGGAGCCAGGATTTGGACTTGGCAGTCTGGTTTCAGGACTCAAGCTCTTAACCATTACACTCAACTGATTCACAGCCTAAGAGTCAGGAAATTTGGGGAATGGGAGTAGGGGATCCGAGACAATTTCAGTAACTATCATTTTGAGGAGTGGGGAGGGGAGTATGTGCCAGTTTGCAGTTATCAGCTTGGCTTAGAGATGCGAGCCTTGCTTGGGTAATTTAATTACAGCACGCTTCAAGGGCCCTCCCAACCAGGGACTTGCTTGCATCCTTGTCCACACAGCATACAGTGTGTGCTACCTAGATGTGCCTCTTCAGTGGTCCAGCGCCAGGCTTGGTCGGTGGTAGCCATGCAGTCATTGGAGAAGCAGGGGACATGATGAGAATGACCTGGGGGAGGGGAGGAGACAGAGGGCAGCTCACTGAGTCCCATTCTTCCTGCATTCAGGCCCTTATGGACAGTCAGTTGCAGAAGCTCATGGGCCTCTATTAACCTGGTTCTCAGCAGGGTGTGGACATCAGGTGGCCTTGCAGCCATCACACCGAACTTTCACCCCAACAGAGGCTGGGCTGGCAAACAAATCTGAGGCTGGGGAGTTAGCCAGTCTCCATGGAGACCCATAAGAGTCCCTAGGAATTTTCCCAGCAAACTTTTGCCTGTGGGGACTGACTCACAACATGGGAGAAAGAGACAGAGAGCCCTGCTGCGGCTGCCCCATCAGGGAGTATAATTACAGAGCTGGAAGGGACTTGGAGATAACCTAATCCAGTGATATTCTCAGTGTGATCTGCAGAGCCTTGGGGTGTAAGGGGCTGCCCCAGCGAGGAGGGCGAGCCCGACAGACACCCCAGCTTCAAACAGAACAGCTCTGCTTTCATCTGACTTAGATGCTGGGGTCCATGTAAGATTTCATTTAGAAAAAAAAATAGTGATAAAAAAGTAATGATTAAAAAACCCATTGGATCAGTCCATTCTTCTCATACTGCAGAGAGGAAGGCTCAGGCTGAGAGAGGGGATTGCCCAAATGCACAGAGTGGGCAGGTGGCAGCAGCCCCAGGCTGGGGCGATTCTCTGGGCTGGATTTCCAGACATCCCGCGGTCAGTGCCTGTGTGCAGATGCTCTGTGCAGAGAATCTGTCACCACCGTGGCTCTGCAACTCCGACTCCCTTGTCAGAGTCTCTCAGACGCCTGATTTGCACATCCTCACACAAAAGCCCAGCAACCCTCCCCAGAGAGGTGTCCAGCGGAGCCGTTTCTCTGAATCCCCAGCTGGGCCGTGCTCCCTGCTCCTCACCCCTTCCAGTGACTCCGTGTCAGTCTCCCGAGGAGCACGCCCCTGCCTCCTCTATCCATCTTCCATGGAACCGCGGGTTCCAATTTCACGAGATGGGCTCCCAGTGGCCCCTTCTCACTCCATCCAGAGTTTCAAATTAAGTGTGAGGCAGTGAGCACAGAGATCTTGGTTGGCTACCCCAAGGCCTTTCCCCAAGGAGGGATGGCAGACCATTCTCTGGCGATGGGGTGGCCCTCCCTCCTCAGCATACGGCTAACCTCCTTCTCCCCCGGGAAATTTCTCTGCAGGAGCCAAAGCGGATGGGAGCTGGAGCTGCTGGAGCCCCTGGTCTGCGTGCAGAGCAGGCACCCAGGAAAGGAGGAGAGAGTGCGACAACCCAGCACCCCAGAACGGAGGGGCCTCCTGCCCGGGGAGGAACGTGCAGACCCAGGCTTGCTGAGGGTCTCAGGGCACAGGCTGGAACAGGTTCTGCCCTGGGGCCACCTGCACAGGCTATCGGATAAGGACTTGTTTCAGCTCAGAGAAGTTGCAAAACAGCATCGACTTTTTTCTTTGTCCTGCCAGTTTGCAGGCCTAAGACTAGGCTGTCCCACTGACAGCCAGCTGTTCCGCTATCTGCAAAACTCAGTTGTTTATTCAAGAACTGGATGTCGGAGTGTTAACTAGAGACTCAGTCCTGCTCACACCCAAAACAAACAAACCCAAACCCAAGAAAACTGAATCCATAGCTTAGGAGAACTCAGAGGATGGTAGAGGGACAAGGCAAGGACACACTCTTAACACAATCAGTGCTCAATAAAACAAAATGTGATGATAATTCTCTAGTTCTTTGATAACAGTACTTGTTCATCTATAGAACCACTATTAATTGGTAAGATAAGCAGACACCCTGAAATAAGGAGAAAAATATTAAAAATTGACTTTTTTTCTTTCAAGTTTCCTTCATTTGGACTCTTTTTCAAATTTAATTAATCCCTCTAGTTTGCTTAATTTCTTACGACAAATATCACATTTCTCTCAATTATTTTCTCATGGCATACTATTCTTTTCCTTAATTGAAATTTTCACAACTAGTAATTATATTGTCTTAGTCCCTTCAGGTTGTTATAACAAAATACCATAAACTGGGTGGCTTCTGAACAACAGAAATTTATTTCTTACAGAACTCTGGGAGGCTCTGCCCTCATGATCTAATCACCCCAAAGGTCCCACCTCCTAATACTATCATCTTGGGGTTGCGATTGCAGCATTTAAATTTTGAGTGGACACAAACATTCAGGCAATAGCATTGTGCGCCTGGTCTTGCCCGCCCCCCATTCATATCCTTCTCATATTCAAAATACAGTTGACCCTTGAACAACTTAGGGGTTAGCAGCACTGACCCCCTGCACAGCCAAAAATCTACATGTGACTTTTGACTCTCCTGAAACTTAACTAGTGAGAGACTACTGTTTACTGGAAGCCTTATTGGATAACATAAATAGTGAATTAACACATATTTTGCATGCTTTATGTAGTATGTACTGTATTCTTATAATAAACAAGAGAAATGAAAATGTTATTAAGAAAATCACGAGGAAGAGAAAACATACTTACTATTTAGTAAGTGAAGTGCATCCTCATAAGGGTCTCCATCCTTGTGGCCTTCATGTTGAGTAGGCTGAGGAGGAGGCAGAGGAGGGTAGTGTCTCAGTAGACCTGTGCAGTTCACACCTGTGTTGTTCAAGGGTCAACTATACATTCATTCCATCTCAGTAGCCCCCAAAGTCTTAACTCATTCCAGCATCAACTGAAAAGCCTAAAGTCCAAAGTCTCATCTAAATAGCATCTAAAGAGATATGGGTGAGGTATGACTCATTCTGAGACAAATTACTCTCCAGCTGTAAGACTATGAATTCTGTGAACTAAAGTAAAATCATCAGCTACCCAGCTGACTGGATGGACCCCTCTTGGCTCAGGGGACCCCAGAAATACCCTAAAGCTGAGTTGCTGGCCACGGGAAGGGAGGCCAGACATGCCTCCTCATGTCCCCTTCCCGTCTTGGAGATACCCTTTGTAACTCAAGAACAGGCCTAAGGCCATATAAGAAAAAGCATAAACCACACCTGCAGGCCCTCAATTTACTTAACAGATCATTTCAATACAGTCTGGTGGCTTCTCTCTGATTAACAGACTTCCTTAACTTAAAACGTTCCAAGCCTTTAGAGAAAGCTTTGTTTCTTTAACCAATTATAAATCAAAGAATCTTTAAACTCACCTGTAACCTGTAATGCCCTTTGTAGAGATGTCCTGAATTTTCAGGCCAAACCAATGTCCAGCAAGTCCACTTGCTCAAGTCTTCTTGGGCATGGCTCTCCAGTCTATGGTCACACATACTCAGCTCCGAATAAATTTCTTTAGATTATTTTATGGGGTTTGAGTTCTTTTCCGTTGACAAATCAAACATGTTATATGCTTCCAAAACGATGAGGCAAGCATTCCCATTCCAAAACGGAGAAATAGGAAAGGGATCGGGTTATGAGCAAGTGCAAATCCCAAAGGCTCAAGAATACTCTTCTTTGATTTGGGTGGAGGTCTCACCTTCCAGAAACAGTGGGGAGGGGATCCTATCCCCTCAGCTTTGCTGTGCAAGGGTCTGGCCCTCGAAGTTCTGGGCAGCACCTTTCTCTTGACTTTGCTGGGTGCAGCCCATGATGCAGTTCTCCCGGGCTGGAATTTCACAATGGTGGCCTTCCACTGGAGTAGGGTTGTAGGGGGGAACAATGGGGGGCTTACCACAGCTCCACTGGCATCGCCCTGATGGAGACGCTGCAGGGGCCACACACCTATGGCGGTTCCCTGCCTGGGCTCTGCGGCTCTCCAGGCAGCCTTTGAGATCTAGGTGGAGCCAGCCACGCCCCCACAGCTTTGCAGGGTGCAGCCAGCTCCACCTGTGGTAGCTGGTTTGCTCAGCCAGTGTGGGGAAGAGGGCTCAGCTGAGTAAGGCCTGCAGGACGTCCCTCCTTTGCATGTGAAACTGCTCTGACCCCTAGACCCTTGCACTTCTGGCCAGCCTGTGGGCCTGAGATAGGGATGGTAGCCCTGATGATTTCTGAATTTTTCCATTGTCTTGCACGAGGGTTCTGGATTCTGTAGAGATGGCTGACTAGTCGCCTCATCGGATGGTTGTTTGGCCACATCATGTTCTCTTTCAGACACTCTTTCTCATTCTTTGCAAGAGGGATAAGCTGAGAATTTTCCAAACCTTTAAGTTCCACTTCCCTTTTGATTTACAATTCTGTCTTTAACTCATTTCTCTCTTCTCACATTTTACTATGAACAGTCAAGATAAGCCAGACCACTCCTTCAAGACTTTGCTTAACTATTTCCTGAGACAAATGTCCAATTTCATTGCTTATAGATTCTCCCTTCCACAAAACACCAGGACATGAACACAATTCAGTCAAGTTCTTTGCCAGTTTATTACAAGGATGGCTTTTCCTCCATTGTCCAATAACATGTTCCTCATTTCTGCCCAAGACCTCATCAGAATGGCCTTCACTGTCCATATTTCCACCGACATTCAGTTCAGGATTATTTAAGGATTCTCTGAGATAGCAGGCTTTCTTTATAGCTCCCTCCTGTCCTCTGAGCCCTCATCAGAATTGTCCTTAATGCTCCACTCACAGCTTTGTCTGCTTTTGCTAGCACGAACCTCAAAACTCTTCCAGCCTCCACTGAGTTCCAAAACTGCCTCCACATTTTAGGTATTCGTGACAGCAGCACCCACACTTCTCAGTATCAGTATTCTGTCTTACTCCATTTGGGCTGCCATAACAAAAATACCATAAACTGGGTGGCCTATCAACAACAGAAATTGATTTCATACAGTCCTGGAGGTTGAGCAGTCCAAGATCAAGGTGACTACAGCAGATCCAGTATCTGGTGAGGGCTTGCTTCTCGGTTTGTACAGGACTTTCTGCTGTGTCCTCACGTGGCAGAGGTGGCCAGGGAGTCTCTGGACTTTCTTATAGAAGGGCACTAATCCCATTCATGAGGGCTACCCTCTATGACCTAATCACCTCCCAAATTCTGTACCTTCTAAAACCATCACCTTGGGGTTAGGATTTCAAAGTACGAACTTTGGAGGGGCACAGTATTCAGACCATGGCATACACATTCAGTCCCATATCTTGTCTGACTATTTAAGATCTGTCTTTTCCCAAGAGATGTTAATCTTGAGAGTGGCAGTCAGGTTTGTTTTGTTCAGCACTGTATCCCCAGAGGCTCCAAGGTTGTGCCTTGAATATAGCAGGGACCCAGTAAGCATCTGCTGATTAAGTGAATGAATTCAAGAGTCAGTTAGTAGATGAAGTTCCTATTGCTCAGCCTCCCAGAGCAGAGAATAGATTTGAAGAAGCCAAAGAACATTGATCAATCCACCTTCCCATCTGACCCAGCCCCAGGAGAGCCAATCACACCAGCCAGCATCCGAATCCCACAGCACACAAGTCACACTCCAAATAGAGAACTTGTTCTGTAGAACTGAAATGTCTGTTTATGAGTTTCCCCTATTAGGTTGTGAGCTCCTTGAAGGCCAAGTCTGCACTCCCAGTGTATAGTAGGTACTCAAGAAATGTCTGGTGACTGACATATATGTGTGTGTGTGTGTGTATATATATATATATATATATATATATATATGCTTCAAATCCTTCCAGAGTCTCAATCTTGTTGGTGTAATTATACGACTTATACATACATGAAACAATTAGAGAAAGGTTTAGGGCTACAGGAAATTTATTGCTGAATTAATATGCCAAAATATGTGGCACGCAAGATAAGTGCTGAAGGAGGCCAGGTGGGAGATTTACGTTTCCATAGGTGTGTATATGGCTGGCATGGGGCTTGACCCAGGCCTCAAAGGATTTTTCAGCTAGACAAACAGGAAGGAGACCTTTAAGACAGAAATCCATCATGAGACAAAGTTTGAAGGTGAGAAAGAATATTGGGGGTGTGTATAGGTGGGTGTGTGATGGAAATAGGGAGTAGGGAAAACAGTGAATGTAAATAAAATAAGGTTTATGAAACAGTTCACATAATGCCTGCCACAGTTAATTATTAGCATCACCCCATCACTCTTATTGTTACTACTATTATTAATTAATGAAGCATATGGTTTAGAAGTTTACTTCTGAACTCTTCAGATCTATTAGAAAGAATAAAAGAGGCTACTTTTCATCCTGTCATTAATTTATGTTTTTCTTTTTAAATTAACTTTATTAATAATTAATTTATATTCATTATTTACCAGGGAGTGGTAGTTATATGCTAGAAAGTGACTAGAGCCCAGACTGGCCAGGTCAAGTGGGCACTTTGCAGAGTGCACTTTGTTTGATTTGACCTAGAAACAGTAACACTTGACCATGGTTGCACGTTAGAATCACCTGGGGGGTTTTGAAAGCCCTGCTGTCCAGAGGCTGCACCCAAACCAGTGAAATCTGCATCACGGGGGCTGGGGGCAGTGAGAGCCAGACATCTATACGTGTAAAAGCTCCCTGGGTGATTCCAAGTGTAGCTGTGGTTGAGAACCCTCGAGAGTGGAGAAGTCATTACATGTTCGGGGAGAATGGGGTGTGTGTTATTTCATCTAGTCTTATCCAAGACTTCTTAAGGTTTGTTTTAGCAATCCTATTTCACAGCCAAGGAAACTGAGTCTTGAGACCCTCCTGGGTCACAGAGCAGGCCAGGGTTCCAATGCATCACATCAAGCACACGCTTCCACCCGCCACACCCACCTTGTACTCCTGTCTGCTGGTGGAAGGATTTGTAGCCTAG